ACATTTTCTTTTTACTCATCTCGCATTTTTTTGTGTAATTAATTAATAACTAAAAACTAACACTACAGCCATTTTCCATTGAAAGGGAAAATGCTGCAGTTTTGAGAATTGCGTTTGTTATTTGGACTAACTTCACAAACTTTTTGCTTGGGAGCCGGCGGATCATTCGAGTCATCTCGCCGGGCGTGACGTGACAAGAAGTTCAGCAAGCAGGTGCTGGGGGATGGGGTATTACCTAATAGCAAAGGCTGCCGCTGTACGCTCGATTTCATCTTGTTCAGGGGATTGGGTGGGAGTCCGGAATGAACGCTCTCCAGGAAAGAACCGAGCTTCTGCCTTGGCTGGGGCAGTGACGAAATCCCTACCATTACTAGTAATAGCAGGGGTGCGCACAGGCTGCCGTCTCATTTTTGACGTAAGGCGCTATATAGACACTTATCTTGAGGACGGAGATTGTCAAGGGTGTGTGTCCCTTTACGGTTCTTGAGCTCGCTGATGCCATCTTCGATGGCACTATCTAGTTCCCGAACACGTTGGCGATCCTCCGTTCCTTCGGAGGCGTTGCCACCTCCTCCGGGTACGATTCTTCAGCGCGATGAGTTCAATGATTTATCGGGAAAGCTCGTCGCGGCTTTGACGGACAGTCGCCCTAGTTGCGAGGGAAGTTTGGGTTCGCTGGACGTTCCTGGTCAAGGTTGAAACCTCTTGCTCTAGAGCGTCTCTGGTGTCAATTTGACCAGGAACTTGGGTTAAGGTGTTGAGTGTCTGCCGAAACAGGGAAGCTGTGGGCGGGAAGGATCAAGTTCGCCCCAGGTGAAAAAGACGGGTAAGCCGAGCTCAGGGCATTGATTGTAACAAGATCGGAGGGTTTCCTGAGTCCTTTGCTGAGTGCAAGGTCGGTGTCATAATATTGCTAGGGTAATGGGTGGGCGATTCAGTACTGAGGAGTATCAACTCCGGTCTGTCATTGACGAAATCATTTAGGATACTACCGTTGGTATTATTTGTCTCTATGATTCCGCCAGTCTGTGTCTGGCGTTCAGGTCTCTAAGCAACAAGGATTGAGTGTTTTGGGGGAAAAGGGAGTTAGGTTAGCTACTGACAGACGGGTCTACGGGGCATTGTAGCAGCCATTGATCAAAACGCCGTTCGCAAGCGCAAGCTTGATGCACACGTGCTCGATGGCACTTTGCCACTGGGGCCTACGCTTGTACGCGATTGGGTTCCTGATCACACCACCAGCGCGGCGGCCGGCTCAGTCAGAGCGTTAACAGGAATAGTTTTTCACTACGATTTGATCTCCATCGCCTAGCCATGTTTCCACAATCAAGGCGATATCAATCCTCTCATGGCGAAGGAAGTGGAGTAGCTCACCTATTTTGCCATTGAGGCTATTTGCGTTTCATTGCACGACCCTGAACGCGACTCAGCTGAAAGTTCTTAAGTTCGGAGCTGAAGAATTGGCGGCTGGCATTAAACAACTCCGCGTCGTTATTGCATCGTTCGAGCATTCCAATATAATGGTCCAATGCTCGTATCATACCATCCATATTCATCAGCGCATCCAGGAGGGCGAATTTAGCCTGTAACACGTTGAATGTTTCGCCTAGATTGGTGGTCATTACGGGACGGCAGTATTTTGCGCTCGCGCACATCGTTTGTAGCCATACCGCGCACTCCGCTCTCGCGCACAAGTCCCCGCGGGAAGTCTCTGTCGTTGACGAGGGTTGGTGGTTGTGTCTGGGGTGGTGGTAGTGGTTGCCTCGCCGGTTTCCTGGATGCCTGGGCCGTTCTTCGGCCCCAGGCTGGGTTTTGTGGGGGCGGGGCAGAAATGTAAGTGGGTTTGGGGGTGCTTCTTGCTTCTAGCATCTGCTTTTTGAATTTGTTCACCGGGTAGTTGGTGGACATTGCCCGATGTGCACCCTTGCAGTTTGCGCAGACCGACTATTTGTCACTGTTGGGACAGTCGGCCGTCATATGCGCTTCGGCGCATTTTGAGCATCTGCTCTGGCGGTGACAACCAGTCATCGTATGTCCCCATATTTGACATCTGATGCACTGGGATATGTCTTTGCGGTTCTTCCGCTCTTTCCACTGTACTTTGGATGCGAATACTTTCTTATTGTAGCTCTCAGTTTTGCCAGTGTCCACTCAGAACTTGTGACAACCAGGTACAGTGGGTTGTCCTGCCCCGTATTCTCAACGTGAAAACCTCTTTTATTCTCATAGAATACCTATCCACTAAGTATTCTCTTATTTCGGCAGTAGTGTAGTTCCCCTTCATATGTCTTAAGATGATGGCGCGAGTCTTATCCGCTGGCACGGAGTATGTGTGGAACTCGGCCCCATCGTTCTGGCCATGGTGCCGAGCCAAGCTGTTATGATCGGTCATGTTCTTGGGGTAAACTATGACCGAAATTCTAGACTACATGAGCTCGAGAGGCTCTGAAGTCATGGTCGCCGCCATCTCCAGAAATTGTTTGTGATTGTTGAGCTTCCCCATTATCACTATTGCCGGGGGAAGCACTTTTTTCCCCGTGCCAGTGGGTTTTATTGGGACCGTGTCTGCCACCACCTTTTTCCTAATGGCCTCTTGGGACGTGTTGTGTGGGGCTTCATGTTCCATATCTGCAACCTCTAGGGGTGCATGTTGGCGATATGCAGCTTGAACAGATAATAACAGATACAGGTATACAGACTGGACCAACCTATTAGACACATAGGGAGTAATAAGACGAATTAGCTTGTACCCGGTTTAGGCGAATACTGGACCTTAGCAATAAAAAATTTAGTGTTTAAGTAAGCTTATTTCTAGTAGCAAAATTAATGAAATTTCGTGTTTTGAATAAAATATAATTTCTTTAAAACACAAGTTGCATTGAATAGAATAAAATTGTATGATTGGTCACAAAAAAACTATTGCATACTGAGTTTGAAGTTGAAAAAAAGGTATAAGGTACTAGCATAGGGAAGTTTTAGGTAAAAAATATTAAAGTAGTTTTTGATAGAAATAGGTCGACCTAGATTAAGTATTATGCCGTGCGTGTAAATATGCTGTATTGATAATTATTGTTTAAGTTAATATATTATTTAGCAACTAAATTGTAGTATAAGCATATTGGATTGGGAACATCTATTGGGTAAATAATTATACATTAATTCATAGAGAACCGTCTTTTAGACATGTCATTTTATTTATTGAAACCTTATGAGAAGTTTAAGAACTTATATTACAAAAAATTGTATACAGGAGAAAAAGCCTGGCTTCCATTTGCATATCCTGACATGGAAATTTAATTTAGTGCTACAAGTGGCTGCCTCCAAGCTACGTAAAGGCCCCCACAGTTTTTTTTTTGCACAGGCTAACCTTGCAGGCCAATTTGCGCAAATTAATCTGTACCTGTGCCCCTCGCACACCCGTATAGTTTTTAGCTCAGTTCTTTTCACACAGGACGATAAACGCAGTTGAAGGATACTTTTGTTCTACAGTGAAAATGGTTTATGCACGCCAAATTTCAAGCAGAGCTTGAATTTACTCAGGCCTGCACAGTCGACCGCAAGTACCTATCCACAGATGTGCAGACATGCCTGCGCAAACCAGGTTTGCACAGTCGGCATATGCAAAAAAGAGCGTCTGTGGGGACCTTAAGTGGAATGCTTCACTGTCCGATCAGTTATTGTTTAGATTTTGTTAATTTGTTACATTTAGATTTGAATGCAGTGTTCAAATCGGAACATGATTAAGCAAACACCCTGCACTCAATAATAACACCTGTCGGTCCAAGACGCTGACATTGTCTTAGTCATTTTTTTAATGTAAAATTCGGTTAGAATTTATTCAGTATCCACAGATATTATTAGTCTTTCATAAAAACAAAATAGAGTGTTTCTCATACTCTACAATAGTCTACAACATCAACCCATCAGCAGAAAAGTGGAAACGGAAAACTCCGTCACCACAAACAGTTATGTTGGTGGCAATTGATCATATTAGTTAGGTTAGAATCGCAAATTGGCGCGGGTTCCTAGTTCAAAAATTAATACATTGATGTCTTATGGGGACTCAATTTTAAAAGCGTCTGTAGACGTGATAGAACGTTTGTTAGGGAAGTGAGTTGTATAAATAGTTTTTTTAATATGTTAATTAACTGAGAGAGTGTTTGAAAGTTGAATAAACATTGTTAAAATAAAAATATTACCAATTTAAGAAGCCGATATTTGTATAAAATACGTATGTCGTTGCTTGATCCATAAGTATATATGAGTACCTAATTATAATAAAATAAAAGTTTACCTACATACTTGGTTAGTAAATGTACTTCAATAATCCAAAAAAATTGAAAAATAAATGACTGAACTAGTGATAAATAAATAAATAAACAATTCACCAACAATCATAACACAACACACAACCTCACTTTCTCTCAGCTGGTTTTAGACCCGACGTACGTCCACCGAAAACAGACACTTTTAATTAAAATCATTTGTATTTTTAATTCATAGGTCTAAAAAAACAATTAGAGCATGAATTATAGAGAAATATGTTCAAAGTTTGATGTACAATAGGTTCCAATACTAAGAAATGCCCAGAACCCAAGATATTCCCGTCTGAAAATCACTCTTTTGAATCCCCCATAAGAAATACATTGCTGTCAAATTTGTTGAAATGTGTTTAGGAACCCATTTTAAATTTCGCGCCCGATTTTTCCTAACCTAACTAATATGGTCAATCAAATTTTGCAGTTTCGTAGGTACGCTGTATCAAGCCACCTTTAACTATTGAAGGTTCTATATACTTTTCTTTTAAATCTTCAATATTCACTACCTTGATTTAAGCTGTGTGTATGCGGACTGCTGAATTTATGATACTTTTATTTGTTGTGATTTCTATATATTTTTTTTAATTTCCTCTGAAGAACAGATACATAGATGTATTTATAGAAAAAAGTAAAACGCATGACCACTTAATAATTATTCGCAGTTTCATTTTTCAAATTTGGGAGATAGATGAAAATAAATACATACATACAGGCATATATATTTTTGTTGATTATACATTATCTAACTAACATTTCAATTTTGAGTGTAATTACTTTGGCAAAATACCTATTGATTATGCTAAAAAGGTATAATTGTATAATGGAATGAGCTCATTTAAAAAATTGGAACAATAATTTATTCATTTGGCCAGCCACAACTTCAAATGACTCCCCAATAATATCACACCCAAAAAATTAAATTTTTATTCCAAGATTATTCCATCTAAAATAGAAAAAAAAAATAACACAAGCACACTTAATAATAATATTTCGCAGTTTTATATTTTAAAGCTTGGGACATACATAAGAAAAAATACATGCATATTTGAGATAATGTAATATTAGAGATGCTCTGACTACGGTTTTGTAGCCGGCGACTAGTCGACGAAAGAAATAAAACAAATATTTCTGAAATAAAGTAAAACTAGTCACAAAGTATTGGATCTGATTTTTTTAACAAAACATTCTATTCTACTACATACATATTACAAAATGAAACAGTAAACATCATCTTGTTGCTGATAAACGTTTTCATTTTAGACAGAGCAAAAACAAGTTGCCAGCATCTAAAAATAGGACCGACTAGTCCGAAAGGCCGATTAGTCAAAAAACCCTAGTCAGTACATCTTTAAAAATGATTCAATATAAATAAAAAAATATTATCCCATGTTTAATAAGGTAAACATGTGAAATGGAATGAGCTCCTTAAACAAAACAATAATCATTTAATCAACTAACACGACTTAATTAGAGTCCAATAACTATATTTTTTAAATATTTTTATGGAGACTTTGGTCAAAATTTCAAAGTAAATCCTGCTTCACCTCGACGTAAATCGGCGCCCATTCCCAACCTAAATCCATAATCATCGTCTTCACCACCCTAAAATTAATAATATGGAATTATAATTTTTATTCTGAAACACTTTAATGGGAAAGTTCATACCAGTTTCTTATACTCTCCTCCACCGCTTGGTGGTTTAGGACTAGCAGCCATTGCCCTCTTATGCCCAAGTTCACTCTTAGCTGGCCAAGTAGGAAACATTGCTGGATCAATTGGTAAAGGTGGCTCAGTGAAATAAGAATGTTTCAGGGCGTCTTCCGCAGTTATTCGTTGATGTGGATCATAAGTTAGGAACTTTAGCAGTAATCCCAAACCAGTTTCACTCAAGCCTTTGAATTTGGCACGTAGATTAGACACCGGATATTCGTTAAACTTAATCTTTTTCACTGCCGGTAAATTGTTGAAACCTTTCCAGATTTTTTCACTTGGAGTGCCCAGATCCTTAAAGATAAATAAAAAATAAAAAAAATCAGATGTTACAAATTTAATCATACCCTAAATATACGATTCAATTGGTCAACCTCCGATTTTCCAGGAAACAAAGCATTCATCAATAGAAATTCAGCAAAAATACATCCCACTGACCATACATCTATCGGAGTCGAATATTCTTTGGTACATAGAAGTAGTTCTGGAGCCCTGTACCATAAAGTGACCACTACAGGAGTATAGGCTTTTAAAGGGGAACCATATTCTCTGGCCAAACCAAAATCGCCTACTTTTAGTATGCCTTTGTGGGATAGAAGCAAATTTGAAGTTTTTAGGTCCCTAAAAAAAAAAACTTGCATTTGATATTTTTTGACATTGAAATACAATACCATAATTATTTATTAATAGAATACCAGTTTATACATATTATGAAGTAGTTTTTCCAATGATTATAGTTAGCAATGTTCCATAAAGAAAGCACCTAAGTGTGCAGAGCTCGTATGTGCCTATATAACGTTTTTTTTTTTTTTTGGTTCTCTAATTTATTGATTGAGAATAGAACTGAAAACTTTACAAATAATGGTATGTTCTCACAGATCTGGGAAGCCAATTGTGAGGCAGTGTGGCCGAACAAATCAAGTCAAAACAAAATTTGATGGTGATTTCTAAACTTGCTTCTAGTTCAATTAATCCAATAACATTGATCTATTAAGAAGGCACGAGTTTCCCCAGTATATAAAGCCATTAACAGTTTCCTGTGTGAAAAGTAAGGTAGACGAATATCTTCTGCCTCTCCGAAAATTACTTTCAATACATAAGTACTTCTGAGCTACATTTAATGTATGCAGAGCACTCTCCCATGCAGTCCACCACGCACAAGTTTTCATATCCAAGATCAGATTCAACCAAAGCGGAATGTTTATTTGTTTCAAAATTCTTGTAGGTAATGTAGGTATTAAATTTGTGGATAAGAATACTCCATGAGATAGCTCCAGTTGAGGTTTCGATTCCACAGTAATCCTAGGTATTTTATGTGATTAACCTCCTCAGGACAATCATTATCTATCAGGGGATTAGAAAAGTTAGGTCTGTTCCTATCAGTTAATGAAAAGGCCATGAAGTTCGTTTTTGTCAAATTCAAGGAAAGTTTCCCTTATTTTATTCTTAAATTTTTTTTTTCAAAATTAGATTTTGAAACCGCTGTCGCCTTAAATTTTACTTCATTCCAATATCGCTTTGTAAATATCACCGCAGTGTCATATGCATATACTAATATTATTACAGCTGCATAAAAAAATTCCTTCAGTACTGCATTAAAATACATTATGCAAAGGATTGGCCCCAGCACTGTTCATCGTTTGCTCACAAATGGTGTTATTTTATTTCCCAAACATCAACATTTTTAGTTTCCTAATACTTTATTCATATTAATTAGCTATACAATGTTGAGTTGACATAAGATACGGCAGTGCTTCAACATACTTGAAGTCAGCGCATGGTGTTTTTTTTTGGACTTATACTTTTTATTCAGCTATTGCTAAATTATTCAAAAACTGTTAAATAAAAATCTTTGCTGATGCTACAATAAGCAATGTGATAAGTATGAGATAGCATTCATGAAACTGAAAATTGGACTCAAAAATGTATCCAAATGGCCAAATAGTAAATACTCCCCAGTAAATTGGATCAATATAAAATTGCGAAAGAGCTTAACAATCTTAGGGTGGGTATTATATTATAAAACTATATTGACCCGCCCTTAGTCAGATATCTATTGGGTTTGGTCACTAGAATTCCCATGTAATTCTGCTGGAATTCTACGATCTCAGACATCATAGTTCCACTGTGGTTTATCCGTCAGTTTTTTTTTTTTCAAGAAAACTTTTTCTTATCAACAATAGTGAATTAAATATTCTGCTAGATAGGGTTAGTAGTTGTTTCAGTCAGGACAGTTTATTTCATAATGTGCTGCCTTAGAATGGTAATATGTATTCTGATTAATTTTAAAAAATCTTGTAATAGTTATATAAAACGCAATATTAACATAAACACAAAACGTTTTTAAAGGTTTTTTTCACTATGAAAACTGTATTTATGTAAGCCTAGCCTGCTTCGGCGCTCCCTCGGAGAGAATTTCAGTTCAAAGTCCTCTTGATCTAGGTAAGGTTAGGTTTTCTGTGAGTGGTCCGATATCGGCCCTTCCACTGCGACCTACGGTCTATTCTCCTCTTGTTTTAACTCTTACCTCTGACAAGTCTAGGGGCCTAAATTTGCTATCTGAAACCTTTTTGGTGCCTCAGACTTTCAAAGATAAAAAGAATTTATAACAGGGGACCCTTTAAAGCTGGAACTTCGATACGCATAAAGAAATTTTTTGCCTATTTTTGAAGTCAAATATCTCAGAAAGTATAAGAGATATTGGGGCGCATTGTTTGGTGTTCAAGGTATATGTTATCATGCTGATAACAGAAAAGTTATCTACAACATACAGGGTGGACAATAAAACTGTTTAACAAATTTCAGGGCGTCGCCATTTCTTTTCAAACATACTCCTGTTTTTCTTCTGGGTTTAGGAAGAATCAGTAGTTCAATGGTAAAAAACAACTTGACGGGTTTTTGAATCTCGTAGTTTTGCAGAAATTTCAGTTTAACTGAAAAACGACTTTCATCGCACTGATTCTTTGTCTCAGTTACTCGAAACAATTTTCTCTATTGTTGCTAGTTCAACGTTTCCGTCTTTTTTTGTTTTAAGAAGATTTTTTACAGGGTGAAAAAAAAGTAAGTTTTTAATACTAATTATTGGGTGGTCCGTAAAGATAATTGCGCCTCAGAGTAACTAGAGATAGTAGATACGCGTCGTAACACGTAACATGTATAATGCGATTTGAAGGGGGCACAGTCCTCTTTGTCAATTGATATGGCACCAGCCTTTCTCTGCTTTATTAGGCAATTTTTCGCGAGGATAATCAAGCATAATCGATTATGTGATGTGTCAATTGTGTCATACTCTCCTAACTCCCCCACCATCAAATTCTGGGATACTCGAGAATCAAGAATTTCTTCTGTGAGACCAGACCGAAAATCACCTTTTCTACATTTAAAATCGACGAAAAAATTAACTCACTAGCACAGCCTGAATCGCAAGCATTCCATCGAGGTCTGCGGGTGACGCCATCATTATAAGCTGCCGATAGTGACGTCACTCGTAGCCCCAGAATTGGATGGAGAGGGAGTTAGGGGAGTATGGCACAATTGACACATCCCAAAACCTAGCATAATCAGATTATGCTTGATTATCCCCGCGAAAAATTGCTTATTGTATAACCATTCTGAGAGCAAAATATAGTTTTTATATTATGTTTCCTAGGTGGCCGAGATATTTGGTGAATTATTAGCACGTACCATGACATCAGGGGGCTATTTATACAAGGGTGGTAAAAAGCACCGGAACAGTTGAATCTGTTTCAAACCCGCTTAAAAAACCTGCATTCTCAAATGTTGTTATCTGGAGGTTTCCGGACATACAAAATTGAATGGTTCAATGATATCGGCGCTACTGACAGATCTACCAGCTTTGCCCTACATCATTGTCCAATTTCGTTTGCCCAGAAACGTCCAGATAATGAAATTTGGGAAAGCAGCATAAGTGGGTTTGAAGAGATTCAACCATTCCGGTACTTTTTACCACCCCTGTATAAGTAACCCCCTTATGACGTGGTACTTGCTAATAATTCACGAAATATCTCGGTTTCTCGAGATCAGAATAGGTTTTTCACCTAGGAAACATAATAATAACCTCAGAATGGTTATACAATAAAGCAGAGAAACGTTGGTGCCATATCAATTAACAAAGAAAACTGTGCGCCCCATAAATCGCAGTACGCGTTACGTGTTACGACGCGTACTATCTCTAGTTACTGCGACGCGCAATTATCTTTACGGACCACCCAAAAATTAGTATTAAAAACTTACTTTTTTTTCACCAACAATAATGAAGAAAATTGTTTCGAGTAACTGAGACAAAGAATCAGGGCGATGAAAGTCGTTTTCCAGTTAAACTGTAATTTCTGCAAAACTACGAGAGTTATTCAAAAACTCTCCAAGTTGTTTTTAACCATTGAACTACTGATTCTTCTGAAACCCAGAAAAAAAAGCAGGAGTATGTTTGAAAAGAAATGGCGACGCCCTGAAATTTGTTAAACTTTGCACTGTTTTATTGTCCACCCTGTATGTTGTAGATAACGTTTTTGTTCATCACGATACCATATACCTTGAACACCAAACAATGCCCCCCAAAATGCTTCAAACCGCAATAAAATATCTCTTACACTTTCTGAGATATTTGACTTCAAAAATAGGCAAAAAATTTCTTCATGCGAATCGAAGTTCTAGCAGTGTAGTTGTGGCAGAGATTCTCATGTGTTATTTCTTATTATACCATTCTCTTACTATTATGAGAACCAATCAAAGGTCGCTATAATAAATAATATCAGAAATATTCAATGTTTAACTTACCGATGCAAAATCCAATTGTCGTGTAAATGAGCTACAGCTTGCAGCAATTGTTTCAAAAGACATTTAACTTCTCCAGGCATGAAATGTTGTTTTTTGTGCCTCATTGTTTCCAATAGCGACTTTAAATCGTGCTCTACATAATCCATCACTATAAATATTTTATCCATATTACTGCCCATCACAATTTCCCTTACAGTCACTATATTATTGTGTTGACCTAAAAATTCATATTTCCTAGAAACTGAAATATTTTCAAAGAAATAAGCAAAATGTCCTACCTTTTAACAAAGTATTAATTTCCCTCAGTGACGTAATCGGAAAACCTTCTTTTTCTTTTTCCATTTTCAATCTTTTCAAAGCAACTATCTCATCAGTCCTTTTATCCTTAGCTCTATAGACAACCCCATAAGTGCCTTCTTCAATGCGGTTCAAGCACTGAAATTCCTCTACTGATCTGCAGCCTTGTACAGCTGGGTAATAAGGAGGCAGATCTTTATCAATCTTCTGTGGATTTGCTCCTTTAACATCTTTATTTCGGAGCATTTCGTCTTCCTCTGGGCTACGGGATTTGGATCTGGATCTGGATCTTGATGCTGATCTCTCTGAGCTGGAGCTACTCCCACTGTTGCTTCTGCTAGAACTCCTACTTGCGCTCCTGCTTCTAGATTTTGTTCTAGAACGGTCACTTTTACCTGAAGAAAAACTATCTTCGTGGGAATAGCTACGACTTCTGCTCCTAGTGGAACTTGATTTGCTTGCGCTTCTACTATAGCTGCGACTTCGACTTCTGCCACTTGCAGCAGTTTCAGGTTCACTTTCACTTTTTTCAGACATTGCATTGCCTTCTGCTCCTTGGTCCGATGTATCGGAAACTTCAACAACCTGAAACAAAATTTAATACAATGATGAGCATAATTAGCGCTTTTTTTTTTAAATTCATTCTTTAGGCATTCAATCATTGACAAAGCGGAACTTAAACCTAACATTAACCTAATGGAAAGCCTGTACTTATACAAAAAGACAAAATAGACCAAAACAGTCCAAACCTGGGTCCAAACAAACCAGAAACATTTGACGTTGACAACGTTCAACTCCCGGAAGTGCGTTCAAATCCGGCTCCAGCTTGCGCAAAACGGTCGACTTTGTGACTTCAAGATCCACCGCAGGACCTAGTATAGAAATAGTTATAAACATTGTGATTGGATAACAGGGTCTGTCACTTTTAGCGCCGACGCGCTGCTCCATTTAAACTAAATTAAAATAAAATTACAGTATGTACAGTGTGTGTTTAAGCTTAGGACCACAGGACAAAAGTGAAAACTTCAACAAATTTTTTTTGCTGTATATTAACAAAGTTATGTTATAACATTTACAATGTCTACAATTATACCTAATTGTGTATATTACCTACTCTGGTAAATTTTGCTCTGACTAATCGTCATCTGACGGCTCAGTTTTATTCAGTTCTCACAAAATAGTGCTAAGCACGCCTAAGTTTTCATTTCAGTTCAAAAAATCAATAAAACGTAGGTTAAATAAGCAAACATCACAGATGTTTGAGCCAATGAACTTACTACACGTAGCTGGAACGCCGATATTCTAAGCGCTTATCTAGGAAATTATAATTGAGGCAAATGGAGATGTGGGCATGTGAAGGATTTGACAACCATCGGGACCGTTTTAGGTATACGTGTAGTATAAAGTTCATTTGTTTGAGCATTGGCATTTGTCGCCATAATTTTTTTTTTGACAGGTCGTTTAATTGCCTCTTGGACTTGCGTTTTGAAGGCGGTTACATACGGGCGTGGATGGCCTGATATATATACGTGCGGACATCAATGTGCAAACAACAACGTGAATGTCGCGTTTGTACAGACGCTCGCACAAAACTGCAGTCTTGCTACTCTTGCTACAGTGTTCCGAGTGTGCATACAAAATTTCTAGCGATTCCAGAATGCACCTGTGCGTCATTCCTCTGCTTGCACATACAAAAACGCGACGGTATTTTGAGGCGGTTACACACGGACGTGGATGTCTTGATACATATACGTGCATACATCAACGTGCATACATCAACGTGCAAACAACAACGTACATGTCGCGTTTGTACAGACGCTCGCACAAAACTGCAGTCTTGCTATTCTTGCTACAGTAATTCGAGTGTGTATACAAAATTTCTAGCGATTCCACATTCAAAAACGCGACGGTATTTTGCATACACATTGATGTTTTTGTTTGCGCGTTCATGTATGTGCGTACATGTTTTCAGACATCCACGTCCGTGTGTAACCGCCTTTGCATACACGATATTTTTGTTTGCGCGTTCATGTATTTGCGTACATGTTTTCAGACATCCACGCTCAATAGGCGGTTACACGCGGGCGTGGATTTCTTAAAACATGTACGCACATACATGAAGGCGCAACCAAAAACATCAATGTGTATGCAAAATACCGTCGCGTTTTTGTATGTGCAAGCAGAGAAATGAGGCACAGGTGAATTCTGGAATCGCTAGAAATTTTGTATGCACATTCCGGACACTGTAGCAAGAGTAGCAAGACTGCAGTTTTGATAGTTTTGTGCGAGCGTCTGTACAAAGGCGCTATGCACGTTGTTGTTTGCACATTGATGTATGCACGTATATGTATCAAGCCATCCACGTCCATGTGTAACCGCCTAATAGGCGGTTACACACGGATGTGGATGGCTTGAAGCATATACGTGCATACATCAACGTGCAAACAAAAACGTGCATGTCACCTTTGTACAGACGCTCGTGCGAAACAGTCAGTCTTGCTACAGTATTCCAAGTGTGCATACAAAATTTCTAGCGATTCCAGAATTCATCTGAGCGTCATTCTACCGCGTGCACATTCAAAAACCCGACGATATTTTGCATACACATTGATGTTTTTGTTTGCGCGTTCATGTATGTGCGTACATGTTTTCAGACATCCACGCCCGTGTGTAACCGCCAATAGGGCAATCCAAACAATATGGCGGCCACGGTCAAACAGTGAAATTGGCGCCTTAAAGATTTCATTTACCATAAAAAAACCGTGACGTTTTGTATCATAAAACTGTTTTCTGTGTATTTTGTTGTGTTTTGAAGTAATTTTGGCAAAAGGTATGCTATAACCCCAGCTAAAATCCTGGGTAACAATTTAGTTAAGGTTCGTCAAAAAAAAATTCAATATATGCAGGTCTTGAACATGGATCAAAACAATGTGTGTCTTTGTTGGTGATATGAATATTGACTTGTTGGCGACCGAATCACAATTGACAAATAATTATCTGACTGTGATGCATGGAAATGGATTTGGAAGCACATTAATGCCCGAATTTAAGTTCATAGAATACATAGTTGTCACGTACACTCACTACAAAAAATGAGGCGTTTAATAATTGTTATTTGTTAACAATTATTAAACGCCTCATTTTTTTGTAGCGAGTTTACGTGACAACTATGTTTTCTATGAACTTAAATTCTTCACATTCTTCACATTGGATGTGATTACTCTCAATAACTTAGATGTTCCATGTATATTCTTAAGAAAATTTAATAAGGAACAAAAAAAAAATTTCATTGATCTAGAAAAAGCATCTTCCCTAGAAATGCAGAATGCAGCTAGAGAAGAAATCGAAATTGCCAAGGCCGGAAACAAATTGGGCCCTGATGGTGTTCCCGAAATATTGGTTGTCTGTGACGGCACTTGGGCGAAAAGGTAGTATAGGAAAAATTATTCTTCCAAATCGGGTGCGGCTGTCATAATCGGATTCAAAACCCAAAAAGTCCCTTATGTGGGTATTAAGAATAAATACTGTGCTACTTGTGATAAGGTAAAATATGAACACGTCAGTCCACCCCAGCATGTATGTTATTAGCAATATTTAGACTTTTTTTTTTTTCAATAAAAGGTAACCACAACACATGACTACAAATGCTGCAGCCTGAATACGATTATCACTTTCGGACTCCATGAATATTTAATCCACCAACACATTCAATCACAAGCTTGCGTTCACGACGACTTGAACTTCCTGAGCATTGGCTACTCGGCACATAGTGTGTACAGTTTACTTTCACTACTACAAGTACTTGCCACGTAGTGAGTAGCTGTCTTGATAAAAAAATATTAAGATACATTGTGTAGCCCTCTCAGCCATATAACTAATCTAATTTTCAGTAGTGGTGTTTTTCCCGATATTCTAAGAACTCCTGTAATTATTCCATTATATAGGCATAATAAGAAATCACTATCGAATTACAGACCGATAGCATTGACTAGCACCATTAGCAAGATTGTTGAAAAGTGTCTTAGGAAAAAACTATTTGCCTTAACAAAGAACTTAAGTACTGAAAATGCACTTGTGAAGGTTTCAGAGCGAATTTTAGAAAACTTAGTTTTCCACACCAAATTCTCCTACATCGATTAAACAGTATGGAAATTCGAGGTATTCCAAATGAGCTGATTAAATCCTACTTGAACGGTAGAAAACAAAGCACGAAGGTTAGAGATCAGGAGAGTGATAAACTTCGAATGGAGTCTAGTGTGCCGCAGGGGACAGTACTCTCACCTCTTCTTTTTAATATTTATCTAAATGGAATAATGGTATTATTGGGGGAGGATATTGTCTTGTGATTTGCTGATGACGCTGCTATTGTCCTAAATGGAGCTAGCTGGGAAATTGTAGAAGAAAGAGCTGAGCCAGCACTACAAAAAATAAATTGGACGATTTGATGATAGTCTTCTGCTGTCATTGAACATAGAGAAAACTTAATTTATGACCTTCTCTCTCTCTACGCATGGATTGCCTAATTTCCAACAACTTAAAATGCATGAAACGCATTGTCTTTGAAGTGCAATGCAGCTGCAACAAATGTATTGATGGAAAATCTTCATCATTGTACTTAGGGGTAGTTTTGGAAGAATATTTAAATTGGAAGGAACATGTATGGGTGGCCCAAATTCGAGCCTCATCATTGGGATCTCGGTAACCATAAGAGATACGGGGTCGGTTAAATTATAAGGCCAGTCAATGAGGCTTCGGAATTAACAATAATTACAAACAATGTGAAATTTAGGATTTACGTTTTGCACGAGAAAAAAATGAACTATAAAAATTAGCACTTTCCAGTGACGTGCGGAACATTGTTTTTTTTTGTAAAAATTAAACCATTAATTACTTCTTCCTAAAAATTGCTAACAAAGTGCTAATTTACAAAAACGCGACGACTGATCTTCTAAATCTTGTATTAATTTTGTAAATTAGTTATCCCAGAAAATGCGAAAATAATTCTATCTTACAATAATTTCGGATAATATACATTTTTACTAGAGAACAAGTCTAAAAAGCACTTTTAAGAAGAATTTGGGTTGTTATGCCGTCTTTAATGCGGTTTTCAATCAAAAATACGCCAGGAAAATTAACTTGATGAAAATAATTTCCAATTTCGATCAAAACATTCGTTAGGAATGGTTTTTCCATTGTTATAAGCTTGAATTTGTCCGTTAAACGCGTATTTCAAGCCAACTTTTCATTTGGAAGTGAAGTTATTCCAGAAAATGCGAAAATAATTCTCTTACAATAATTTCGGATAATTTACTGTGTGCGGCCTAAAATATTTAATGACCTACCAGGTAAATGTAAAACGCAGAACTATTCCACGGCCAAATCCGAAATTACTAAATGGATGGTTGTTAAAGGGGGTGTGAGTTTTAGTGCAAAAAAATCTAAGAATAAATATTCAAACCGCATCTTGCTACGATGATCCGTTTTCGAGTTAGGGCGGTTTAAAGTTACAACTAGGCGTTTGTGACGTCACACTGGATTCTCACCTCACCTCAGATAGTATTAAACTTGCAATGATATGGGTGAAC